TTGCCGATGTTGCTTCAAAGGCTTTCTTGGGTGCCTCTTTCGGTACGGAGATTCCCTGACTCATGGAAACCAGTCAGCCAAACTTCTAACGATGGGAACATACCAAGCTAAGCATAATTAGCACAGCAATACTCACACAAAAAAAGGCGACGAACAGGCGTTTCCCTGATTAATAAAAGTAATCTACCGAGTTGTGTATACAATCATTGACCCCGTAAGTGACTACGTCACAACATGGCGTCTGAGTCCACACAAACCGTTACTAGGGACGTTGCTATGGGCTACTCACTGCTAATGCATGGATACTCCAGATGAGGCTAGATTTTTGCTTACAAGTAAGTTAATACTTTTTGTAAGTAACCTAATTTCTTGATATCTAATTATGAAGATGTTCTGGTCTCAGTGTGTATTGCAACGATGAAAGCCATTTCTGAAGTATTACACTCCGCTTTACTTTGGTAGTAGACGACACGATAGATTTGCTGGCCTCTGTTGCAGCGGGCGTCTTCATTGAATTGCGTCGGTAAACGAGCGACAAAAGAGCGCAGCTCTTGAAGAGGAGGGAAAAGTACTGGGGGGGGGGTGAAGTGACCTTGGGGGGTCACGTGACGATGCCGATGATGTCATCAGTGACGTCACTGATGACGTCATCAGTGACGATGACGATGCGGACTCCGATGACGTCATCAGCGGTGATGACGATGACGATGCGGATGTCGGTGACGTCATCAGTGACGTCACTGATGACGTCATTCGTGATGATGACGATGACGATGCGGATGCCGGTGACGTCATCAGTGACGTCACTGATGACGTCATCAGTGATGATGACGATGCGGATGCCGGTGACGTCATCAGTGACGATGACGTCATCGGGGAGGTCACGTGACCTCGGCGGGGGGTCATGCGACCCTGGGGGGTGGTCACGTGACCTCGGGGAGGGGGGGTCACGTAACCTCGGGGGGTCACGTGACCTCGATGGGGGTCACGTGATCTCGGGGGTCACGTGACTTTGGGTGTCACGTGACCTCGTGGGCCACGGGACCCTAGGGGAGGGGTCACGTGACCTTGGGGGTCACGTGACCTTGTGGCGATCTTGGGGGTCACGTGACCTTGGGATGGCCTTGGGGGTCACGTGACCTTGGGGTGACCTTGGTTACGCCGACGCCGACGGCGACGGCGACGCCGCTCAAGCCGGGAACGGGCCCCTAAGAGCTGCGCTCTAAAACCAGTGCGTCGCCATGGCCGTAGAGAACTCCGCCAGTACCCGCCAGTGCTACATGTACTCACCTTAGGTTTTTAGAGCGCAGCTCTTAGGCGCCCGTTTCCGGCTTGAGCGGCGTCGCCGTCGGCGTAACCGCGCGGTGCATTATGGGTAAATTTCTCCGCTAAATCTAGCGGAAAAATTTCCCCGCTAAATCTAGCGGAAAAATTACCCCGCTAAATCTAGCGGAACAATTTCCCCGCTAAATCTAGCAGAAAATTTTCCCCGCTAAATCTAGCGGAAAAATTTCCCCACTCGCGGAAAAATTTCCCCGCTAGATTTAGCGGAAAAGTTTCCCCGCTAAATCTAGCGAAAAAATTTCTCTGGGGGGTCACGTGACCCCCCGAGGCCACGTGACACCCTCTGGTCACGTGACCCCCCCCAAGGTCACGTGACCCCCCAAGGTCACGTGACCCCCCAGAAAACACGTGACCCTTAATACCCTTCCCTCCTCCTCCTCAAGAGCTGCGCTCTAATTCGGCGTTACAGGGAGTTGTAAACGGCTTTCATTTTTATCCCGTTCTTCGGCGCTTTACGTTCTTGCGGAAATTTGAAGAGAATCTTTCTCCACGCGATGGTTACAAGGTACGAAGCACCCTTCCATAGCGTGAGTCCGCAAACAAATTTTGGGATCTCGACCGATTGCCTGAAGTGCTTTTCTCACGGGTGCAATGCGATCTTTTAGCAGACGATCATCTCGATCGACGCCGGACTTTCGATAAACCATATTTTGCATCGCCCCCCCCCCCCCCATTATGAATTTTTATAAGTGTCTGAAACTCATTATATATCAAACAAATGCAATATCAGAATATAGCCTTTATTCACACGATTCAAACGACGGCACCTGCGTGTGGCAAACGGCATATACTTCTTGCGTTCGTCGTCTGCTTCAGGCATCTTGAGGACCGGAAGTTGCAGCCGTAAATATTTCAGAAACAAGCGATTAGGCGCACTTCTGTCGAAACATATATGACATTGAAGCTTTCTATATCTGTGATTTTTAGAAGTTTAAATCGTAGTCCTGATTTTTGAACGGTGGGGTTTTCGTAGCGAAACCTAGCCAAATGTATTTGTCTATAACAACGCCCCTAGGAACAGTTTGTTTGGACGTCACACTTACGGAGTCAATTGGCGACGATTATGCTTAGCTCGTTATATCTCCTCCGTTGGTTGTTTAGCTGACTCCTTTCTGTGAGTCAGAGAATCGTCGTACCGAAAAAGGCACCCACAAACATCGGCAAGGGCTGTAGCGGCGTCTACTTTGCGCCTAGCAGACGACAAGGAGGGAGCGGGATCGCAACATGGAAGAATAATTCCGCCACTCATGCAGGGTAGACGGTGCCGCGGCGGTGGGTAATCAATTTTTGTCCGAGTTTTGAGCGACGGGCTAGTCTTCTAGAGGTAGAATGGGGCACACGAACAAGGCGTGTACGACTGATCTCACTCGTGAAACGCTCGTCACCCCACGGGCACTTCGAACGGCTCGGTTGTAACGCGTTGATTAAAGTCCCTTGGTACTTCTTTTACAAGTAACAACAACTAATACAAATGACAAAGCACATTCCGCTGGAACAAAATGGAGGCATTCAGTTCAAACCTCTGCTGTGCGTCTCCATTTGCTTCCTAAAACCTGCACCGTCAAGCAGCACCGTCAAGCAAAGAATGTCGCTACTTGTATGAAGATCTTATCCAGAGACTTTAGTGTTGATGCCACCAAAACACCACCAGCGGCAAATTTCATAACCACGCCAGACTTGCCACGTCACGAATGCGGGGAATCTTTTCGTTCTTTGTTTGCGCGGGATATCCCATGACGCATCGTGCTCTCCGTTCGTTTCTCGAGCGCACCGTTTGGAACCAAAAATACAGCCAGTCGTTCAAAATACAAACGTGTGATTATCATTTACGGTTATTATCTGTCATGTTTAAATAATTTCGGAACGAAATTTGTATATGCCAATTTTCGTTTCCCTAAAGGAGTGTAAACAGCCTTTTTACACCCATTTAGGGGTGTAAAAAGGCTATTTTCCAGATTTGCATCCTTTCAGCATGTTGATCTCTGGTCATACACCCTTTTCAGTTGTAAAATATGGTGTACGTTGCTGCATAGAACATACCCGCTCTGTATCAGCACCATCTTGCCGAGCATTAGAGAAGCTGTGCTATACTCTTTTTTTGCTGAGCAAACGAGCTTTTGGAAAGGTCGGAGGAGAGCTTTGCGTGTTAAGAACCCCAGAGACCGTACTGTGACAGATTTGGTATGTTTAGTGCTTGGTGCGCTAGGTTTCATTACTCTGACAGAAACTTGCTCATGCTGGAACAGGGCTGATAAGACATTTATGCCAGTGCAATATATTCTTTTTTCTTTGGACTCAGAATCGAAACGCTTTGTTCATGTCTGTGCTTTGTCTTTTCTTTTTTATTTGTCTAGGAGTTCTAACTGCCGTTTAAATTTATTGTGTTTTCAGACATGGTGGACTGCGTTCCTGCTCTGCGCTTCAGTTCTTTTTTTTTTTTTTGTGCTAGCACGAATATAACATGTCGTGTGCTTCTGGACACTAAAATGAACACTGATTGATTGGCTGATTGATGATGTGTACCGATGTCGGCCTTGGTTCGTCAATGTTACGTTGGAGCATAAATCACCGCAAGTTTGATAGACATGCCTTTCACCTTGTCCGTTCTGCATCGAGTGGTTTTTCTGCCTGTGGCGAAAAGCGCGTCGGAGCGAGGGCACGCCTCTATGGATGTTTTGATGTGGACTCCCAAGACGTGTATGATTGGGTAGTCGTCGTCGGCGAAGTGCAAATAGCAAATTAGGTGAGTGCCGCCCCTACCGTTAGCCTTCGGACATAGTAGTAGAGCGGTATTCCCACGAGGGAGAAACCCCGTGACTTTTTCCCCGCAGCGCAGCTCACGCGACGTCCGGCTTTTGCGGTGCGGCGCTGGAACGTCAGCTCCGCGGCGGGAAGAACAAACAGTCCCGGTTTGGCGGTGGATCAGTTTGTTTTCAAGAATACTTTGCCGTTAAACGCACTCTCAAGAAAAAAGGGTGTTAAAAGGTGTATCGTTACACCCTTTGTCCCATATAATACACCCCCGAACTTCAACTCAACGTACAACGCCCTACAATCGAACAGTCGGCCCTAAATTTTACGAGGGGCTTGATAGCCGTGTGGTACAACATTGTAAATAGCTAAAGTACGTATCAAAGTCCAAATAAAGAACACACCGAGTTTTTACAGCGGGGCCAAGAAAACCCCGATTATTTTTCTTGTTGCCAGTAAAACGAACATTAGCTATCTTAATAAGTTGTACCACACGGCTATCAGGTCCCTCGTAAAAGTTCGGGCCGTCTGTTTGACTGTAGGGCGCTGTACGTCGAATTGAAGTTTGGGGGTGTATTATATGGGACAAAGGGTGTAAGAATGCACCTTTTGACACCCTTTTTTCTTGAGAGTGCGCTCGGATATCAAGTGCCTACAGAGACCGCTCAATTCGTCCTAAGTGGTCTCGAGGGTGCGAACCACTAAATTAGATTGCAGCAGCAGAGCGAACGCTGGAGAGGGGGTCGCCTCCTCGCGGGCGTTCGCTCTGCTAAAGTGGAAAGAGGGGTGGGAGGAGCTTACCTTAGACCCTTCACCTGTCACCGGCTATAGACGATCGATTTCTGGACGGGATGACTTAATGAAGGCTAATGATTATGAAATGTAGAATACAATCGAACAATACATTGCGTTCATCATTTTCATTCACGGAACAGTTCACGGATTAACACCACATATCAAACAAAGAAAACCAAACGTCGAGTTCGATCTGCTACGTGGATAAATATTCCCTCGACGCAGAGTGAAGAATTGGAAAGGCTGCTCCACAATTCCCGGAGAAGTCGTCCGTGTCAAGCGTCACAATGGCGATCCCGCCCAGCTTTAGTTGCTTGGCAAAAGAAGCCTGGCGTAAAAAAAAAAAAAAAAAAAAAAAAAAAAAAAAAAAAAAAAAAATTAATTTTTCTTTGCGCGCAATTGAGCTGCACTTTACCTACCTTTTCTTTCGCGCTCTCGGCATCTTCGTAGCTCACCCAGTTTGTCAGGTTTACAGCGTACGGTGCCTGCAGGCCCTTGTCGAAGCTGACAGTCCATTTTTTTGTCTTGAGAGATTCGCAGAGCTGAAAAAGGAAACACTGATAGTTACCCTGTTACTGGAACGTGCACTGGCCATGTTGCGTTCTCGAAGGATCTTCTCGACATCTTGCTACCGGATTACCGTGAGCTATAACCCTGATACAATTATTTTTTATTTTAGGGGAGACGTGTAGTGTTTAACCAGAGATGGAGCAAACAAATTCGGTGTCCGGATGGAGTGCAAAAGCCATTCCCAAAACCTCCATTCATACGCTGTTTCCCAAAAAAGGCTTGTGATTGCTGCCATTATGCAGGCTGTTCTGGAGCGCTATTCAGCAGAACGAAAATCGTATAAATAGGCCAATGCACAGCGTGCAATGAAACTTTTCTCTCCGAGGTGGCGCATTCATCGTGCTTGAGACTTTAGCTTGAGTTTGGTGGGTCCACATTTTTGGAAAAGGAGTAGAACCGTCGCTGTATGCTTTCTCGCGTGATGTGGCGAGGGAGTAACTCGGACGTTCAGCTGGCAGTCGTGTCCGACAAGTGAGGACGCAAGCGCTGCGGCAGCGTTCAACTTCCAGTCCGCGTTGAATTTTCCGTTTCAGGAGTCCGAACCGAAAATGTTAGGTGCCAGCCATAGAACACATTTTCTCTTAATCTTGCACACGTTACAAGAAGTAATCTATTACAGTTTCAGTTAACCTTTCAATTAAAAAGTATCCAATAATATTTCTCGATTACTTGACAGGAAAAGTAATTTACCGTTACTTGAAAAAGTAACCGTTGCTTTTGCGCTTGCCTGAGACTTTCAAACTGACCGATTTGTTTTGCCGGTTTGAAAACTGGCCTTTCCTGCTTTATTGAATCAAAATCAGACAAGTACAAACTACTTATTTTCTTAATCCATGAGTTTTAGGAAAGCATTCTCCTGTCTGACACTTCCTTCAAGGTTTCCTTGCTAGGGAGCTTGTACAAAGGGGGCGCCATTTTGTTTGCTGACTTTGAGACGCTGTCACCTTCTGTCCTATTTCTACTTGATCTTACAAGTTTCCTTCGCAGTCCCAGGGTTGAAACATCATGATTAATACGCACCACCTCGCCTGAATTTTCAACATTTTTTCGCCATTAGGACGGGGTATGGAAAAAATGGTACTATGGTCGCGAGTAATTTTAGTACTTGGAATGGATGCTTGGGCGAGTTGGATATTCCTATTGTAGGAGAAGCGCAAAAGGAAACTCACGCTGAAAATGCACGCACACCAGAAAAAGAGCGTGACGTGAGTGACCGTTTTTCTGGTGAGCGTGCATTTTCAACGTTTCCTTTTGCGGTTCTCCTACAATTGAGTACGTGTTAGTCAGTTGAGACAACAGCCAAGTAGAGCGCTGCCGTGGAGCCAGGCTGGTGCTCGGCAACCCGGCGGCCAGGCCGCGGTCGTCGGTCGCTCAAGCTTCTTCGCCTTCTCTGTCGCGTCTGGTGGCGCCTTCGCATTTTGCCGCATGTTGCCGCCATAGAACAACAACAAACACATCACCGACAGCGCACAGATGTCCTTTTGTCTTTTATGTTCAGCTGTTTTTTTCTTACGAACATTTTTTTTTTCTTCTTACGAGCCGCCAGGGCCATGCCTTAAAGCGCCTTTGCCTCCGCGTTCGTCAAAAAAGACATTTCGCTCTAGTCGCTTGTGCGGACCACTTTTCTTTTTTCATCCTTCCCTTCGTGTTGCTTCTGCTTTGTCCTTGCTTCCGACACCGCAATTGTAAAGTGACTGAGCACCTTTTTCGCCTTTCTCTGTCCAGTTTCTTGGGTAAGAGCGCCGCAACGATTGCTTTCGCCGAGGGGGTCTTTTCCAACGTATTTTCTGCCGTCTGCAGGCTTGTTTACTTTTTATTGCTATTTTTTTCGCCTGGAACTGAGTTTTTATTTAAATGTCTCATATATCAATGTTTGCGAAGTGTTAGTAGCTCGATGTTCTCGTTGCTCTGACTTATGGGCGACACCTGTCGATATGCCCAAGCACCCGGCACGGCGCACAGATGAGGTGAATGAGGCGTAGGCCCTGCAGAGGCGAGAGTACTTGCTTTCCCAAGGAGCTCGAGGGGGGGGGGGGGGGGGGGGGGCACTCCGTAGTCGGCGCCTATGGCTGCATGCAAGATAAAACATTCCAATAAGTGTACTGTGCCGCGCCCGGCTGACCAATGGGCTGGCGCGGCTGGCAACTCAGCTGACTGCGAAAGCGAGCGGGGCGAGATGTGCTTCTTTCGTGCAACCAACGATGGATCGTCAAAGAAAGCTCGCCGCATACCGTCTGATGCTCATTTTGAAGAAAAGCCTGTACCCCCAGGCACTGGGTGCGACCGGTTAGGAAAAATTGCACGGAGGAGAGCGAATATTTTACGGCGGTAATTTGACTGCCACACAGCACGTCTGAGGGCCGCTCCGATGCGGCTCAGCGCAATAAATCTTAAATTCTGGTGTTTTTTTTTTTTTTTTTTTTTTGCGTGGGACATATCCCAAAGGATCGTCTGTGAAGCGGTGCTTGTCGTCGGGGTTATTATACCCATCGCAACCGGTGATCAAACGAAGCTTCTCAACGACACACAACCGAGGACAGCCGCGCAATCGCGCGCGCAAGGTTGCCGCGCGCGCGAATCCGCAGTCACGTAAAACGGAACGTTTCGTACTGTTGGATAATTACTTCAGCCACTTCCGAGCGATGAGCGACGTTTTCTAAGAAATTCAGAACCAAGCGACGCGACGAACTACAGTGAGCAATCACCGTCGCTCGCCGCTGACTCTCGTCGCTTGTCGCCGTCGCTCGTCTCGTCGCTCGCTAAATCGCTTACATGCGGTTCAGCCTTTAGTGTTCGCGAAAGTTTTCAACCGGAGACTGGTCTCTCCCAGAACCTTGAGGCTAAGTTTGCGGGACTTATCCCTGCGTATCCATGTCCATTAACTGCATTGATCGGCGATGGCACGAAAGTAGCAACTCGGGTTCTTTGAGACAGCCAAGGCCCGGAAGGTTAGGAGGAGGACCTCTGTGCCAAGGGAACTTCCGCAGCTGGTGTTCCTACACAAGTAGCGACGGTCTTTTGACCAGGATCTTCTGAGAGCTTCCAGTTGGGACTACACATAGACGCGGCGTGCTTTCCAGAACAAGAGGAGCTTGACATCTTTCCACGACAGTATATGACCTGATGTCCTTTCTTACTCAATCAAAAGTACCGCATATAATCGGATAGCCTTTTTTTTTCATTTTGACCAAATAGTACGTCACCAGTCTAGGTCGCAGTTGTATAAACCGTCATTCTGCAAAAGAAGCAACCGCGTTCAGTGTTTGTAGAACTGCTGCTGCAGAAGTTGTCTATAGTTGTGTTTGATCGGTCTGATTTCGTCGTCTGGACTCTTGATGCATGTCAGTCATCTCAGCCCTTTCCCTGGTCTCCATTTCGGTCTGAAGGAAACTCAGGATGCTTGAAAACTCTTTCAGATGGTGGGACTGCAGGCGCTGTGCTGATCGAGATAGCTATACGTGATCGAGATAGCTATACGAGCCGCGGCGTAGACTTTCCATTTTCCCGGGGGGTGGGGGGGGGGGGGGGGGGGGCAGGCTGAGAAGTTCTCCGGGGGGAGGGGGGGGGGGGGGGGGGTGCGCGTTACTTTCTCGCCAGAACTGGAGATTGAAGCTAACGAAAGCACGCTGGGATTCCGTTTCCGATGTATTTTGTCAATAAAGGCAACGTGGGCGTTATTTTGTTTACATGCCACTACTAGAAGCTCGTTACATGGCACGTAAACAGTGTCTCGGTAAGGATCATGGCCCGGGACCGGGGGTGGGGGGGGGGGGGGGGAGGGGGGGGGGCTCTGCCCTTCCCTGGATCTCACCAGGCGGGCACAAGCCCCGATGCCCCCCCCCCCCCCGTAGTCTATGCCTATGGCTACGAGATAATTAAGAGGCAAATTGAACCCCCTGCTGTACGATGTCGAATAAACGAGTTCGGTCCGCGTTCGTGGAGAAATGAAGCTAGCTCGTCGACAGAGCGCCCCGACTAGCTCCTCCCGTAGGGCCTTAAGCAGGATGTCTGACATAATTGTGGAATACGTCTCCGATTTGATGCAAAGAGCCTTCAGCCCCCGGATGTTTACTTGGATGTGGTCGTACATCCGTCGTAGAGCCTTGGTGTCGCTTGATAAAATTACAGAAGGTAGCCTCATAATTTCGCCAGATTATCTTGGACTATACGTCGTCTGTCAACGAATCGACTAGAAAGCATATCGATCGCGTGAACGTGCGTAGCAGGGGTCGATGGTTTGTCAACTCGAGATCACTAAAGCCTCTGCCAAGGAGGGTCCGCAGGTAGCGAAACTTCTGGCATCGGGGGACGCTTTTGTTCTCATACTGCGCTTGAGAACTGCTCCTAGAAGCTCTGCTATATCCGCCGACGTCGCCGTTGAAGCTCTAGAGCTGTAGCTTAGGAAACTTTACCCCTCCCGGCCTAGTATTGGGAGCTCCTTCGCTGTTCAAACGTGGTTGCGATGTCATCGGCGGCCGTTGGTGGTTGCAGTTCCCTTTGCAGGAGGGATTGTCGATGTCTTACTACCAAGCAAAGCGATCACACGGGTGACCTCGTGTTCGTACTCGACTACGGTGGTGTATGTTGCGACGAGGTCTACATCGGCGACATGCTCATCGGTCTCTATGTTAATTTGACGAAGTTCGCTGTTGTTCGTAGTCAGTCGTTCGAACTGTGGAGACTGTAACAGCTCTAACGCGTTACATTGAGATCTACAATAGGTATGCTGTGCGTTTGAGAATTGACCTCAATTAGACACTCTAGCCGTTATTCAAGGTACTCGGCGGCTCCGAAGGAACCTGCCGGACTACGAATCCTCACTTTGTGAATTGAAGTCTCGATCGAGACGACCGCAATCAGTTGATAGGTTTTCTCGGTGTGGGAGCTATGTAACTGAGAGTTGAATGTTACAAGAAAATTCCCAGGCGATGAATACTGAAGGCTTAATGGGCGTGGCAGGCGAAAACCCCAAATTTCATTTTTTTCTTCCAACTGATGGGCATTATAACTAGCGGTTTAACTCACCTCGTTGTAACCCAGGGCCCCAGCTGTTTTGGTGTAGGGGCCCGCGGTGCCGGGCTCATCCGTGAAAGTGCCGTAGCCGGTGTTCTGCGTGTCTTCCAAGGTCCAGGATCGAGCGAGGGTCGTGATGGCCAGAACCATCTTGGAGGGCTCCGCGCCCGCGTTAAGGTAGCTTTTGACGCTGTGCTCCTGCGAGGCAGTTCTCATCTCAAGTTTGAACAATGGTGCACTTGAACCACTCGGGATACGAATGTATACACAGGAGCCCGATACACAAAACCGCTTTATGCACGTAAAAAAAAAAGAAAAAAACAAACAAAACAAAACAACCTGTGTAGTTTTAATTGAATTTAAACAATCACGTAAGGTGGGATCTTTAGATTTGATTGAAAAAATACGGATGTGATAGCTCCGTCGTTGAGATGAATGAATAGGTCTGAAAAACAAAATGACCAGCAACCCTTATCTTTTAAGTCCTAAAATGCATGGAATGCAATATTAAAGGAGCGATCGTTTGCATTTGTTTAGAAGACATTAGACAGTCGTTTCAGGAAGTGACGAACATATTGTTTATGAATTTCCCCGCTAAATTTAGCCGGGCAATTGACGCCACATCACATGGCACCACAGCTGTGACGTCACGGTGTCACGTGACCTAACGTCATATAATGTCAGGTCACGTGACTTTAATTTCCTCGCTAAATTTAGCGGGGAAATTGGAGTCACATTGTCAAGTACAACCTAACTAGATTAGCTCAGTTGTGAAACTCCCGCGGAGGGGGTAACCCCCTCCCCTTCAGTACGCATCCCGTCGTTTGAAGCGCCATCTACAGGATTACCCGCTCAGTTTAATGCAAATGGTGGTCAATTTAATCCAAGTGACATTCAATTTATTTCAAGTGCCATTAAATTTAATCGCAGCGCTACCCAATTTAATCCCCGGGTCAGTCAATTGAATTCACAATATTAATAGTATTTAATTTTTATCACAATATGTAATCCAGAATATGTACATTTTTTGTCTTCAGTGGCCGTGTTTCGCTTACACTTTTGATCACTTAAAGTAATTGTTTATAAAATTAGATTTTGTATAACTGATATTTTGATTACTATTTCGATCACTTGGAGTTACTAGTCGCACGATTCACACGTTGATTACCAGTAACCTCGAGTTATTAGTGGCGCACTCGACTTTACTTAGGCTGAATTGACGTTTTGTTTACTCTTTCTCATTAATTAGACTTATTATTGATACAGCTCAAATGATATGAGTACAACTGCAATTTGTGGTTACTATTTTTATTACTTCTCGCTATTATTGACTCCGCTGACTTAAAATGGCTCCCACTTCTAATCACTTCAACCTGTTAATTACACAATTTATATAATAAAAGTTCAACATTTTTATTACTCTCTCGATTATTTTGAGGGATTAATGACAAAAATACAAATTCGTAGCTCATTCCACATTCTGATTACTTTTTGGTTAATATGCTATTATTGACACAAATAACTTTATAGAAGCAATCATTTTATAACTCAGTCGATTACTTTAATTAATATTGACAAAGGCAAGTTCATATAATATCAGGTAAGATTCGGATTACTCCATTGATTAATCCGTGTTACTATTCACCCAATTGATTTTAATTAACTCAATTAACTTAGTGGTTACTTTTTATCTTTCCCCGGTACATTAGTGACACAACTGCGTTTATATCAGCATTATTCACATCTTGATTACTTTGAGTAACTAGTGACCTATTTGACTTTATATTGCATAATCCTCACTCTCATTATTACTTTGAGCAAATAATAAACTAACCAATTTATTATAAGCACCAGTCACATTATGATTACTTTTTGATTACTTCGAGTTACTATTGACCCAATGAACTTTAATTCGCCCTAACTGACATCGTGATGACTTGATTACTTTGAGCTAATATTCGACCAACTGATATGTTAATAGCTTAATAGATGTTATAATTAGTAGTTTGATTACTTAGAGTTACTATTTACTCAATAGACTTAATAATTAATGCGGCCCCCCGCCGCTCGGCTGCGGTGGGGGCCGCATGCAGCAACGCTGAACGAGCGGCTCCGGGCATGGACCGCAAGCCGCTGGCGGTCCTGCTGCCGTACTGCCAAATCCCTACCACGGCCTTTGGGACCGAAGTGCAAGAGGTAATAGCCGCCCGGCCGCTCCTTGGATGCCGCAACATCATGGTGGCGTCTACGTGCGACCTGGCACTACTAGACAGACTGTTACCAACGTGGACTTCACCATGGATGTGCCGTCTGCGCGCGCTTTACCCGCACGACGCTGCTGTGTTGGCCGGAGATTTTAATGCCGAACACGTGGCCTAGGGGTACCAGCGGTCGCAAGGCCGCGGAAGACATCTGCTCGAGGAGGCCGATGGGGCTGAACTTCAGCTGGCCAACGACCTCGGCCTGCCAGCTAGGTGGGCAGAGAACCCAGGACAGCACGACACCAATTCCGACCTGACCTGGGTGACGGCCGACACTGCGGCTCGATGGTATCGCGAACCCACACCGTGGAGTAGCGACCACCATCCCATCTGGATTGAGGTCCTCGGTGGCCAGCAGAAGCGAAAGAAACGAATGCACTATACCGACTGGCAACGCTTCAGGGGGGACCTCCTGAGCCACTCTGCAGACACAGACGGGGCCACCACGCTGGTCGAGCGCATTCTGGTGGCGGCGGCCGGCGCTACGAATACTTTCGAGGTGGAAGGCGACTCCCCAACGCTGGACCGGTCAACCTGTGACAAGTCCAGGAGAAAGTCCATAAAAAGTACATGGCCTGCGGCCGCACCTTCCCCGACCTAATGCGTATCCGACAACAGGCGGCCAGAATTCGACGCCACGCGCAGGTACAGTCCCGCCAACGCTGGGAGGAGCACTGCTAATCATTCTCCCGACACACTGGGGCTAGTAAACTCTGGATAACTTTCCGGTCTCTCAACGAGTGCAGCACAGTGCAAGCCGTGCTGCTTCGAACTGGCGTCAACCGCGACCAATTCGAGAGGAAAATGGCGTCCGTCTTCTTCCCACAACCGCCAACCATACAAGTCGGCGACATCTACACTCCGGACCACGTGGATGAGTCGCGGGCGATCGAGATCCTATTCACAAAAGCCGTGCTCACCGCGACCCTCGAACAGATTAACATGAAGAGCGCACCAGGAAAGGATGTGACGTGGGCAATGCAACCTCGACGCTCCACAACTCGAGGAGCTCCTCGCGCATGTCAACGAGATCTGGACACGAGGTGAGGTACCGACGGCCCTGAAGCACGCCATAGTCACACCGATCCCAAAGCCCGGAAGGGATCCCTCAGAGATGGCCAACCCCGCCCGATCTCCCTAACGTCCACCTAATGTAAGCTGCTCTAGTGGATGGCGACAACCAGGCTCAACCACCACCTCAAGGAAGAGACGCGGTACTTTCATCCGGGTCAGACGGGACTTAAACTAAACATGGAGACGCACGGGAGCTTGTACCTGCTAATGCCCTTGAATAGAAAAAGTAGCGATACCTTCTCCCTCCTCCTCTGACGCGCACACCTTTTATCTTTATGTTTTGCTTTTTTACACCCGCACGTCGACTGTAGCGCCGCCTGGTTTGGCCCAAGATAACAGACGGCCTTGAGTCAGAGCGCAGTCAAAGGCCTGAAAGCTACGCTCGCAAATACATACACACATGCTAAAAGCGCACTGTCATGGTCTCCAGCCTTGAAGGATGTGCTCAAAGAAAGACGATGAAAGCCGTGACGTTGCACAGTCGGCGTTATTTGATTGGCGACATGAGCTCATAGCAATGGCTGCACTCCAACAGCATAGGCATTCCTTCTCCTTCCTCCTCTGACGCGCACACCTCTTATCTTCATGTTTTGCTTTTGTGCACCCGCGTGTCGACGATAGCGCCGCCTGGTTTGGCCAAGGATGGCAGGCGGCATTCTTCAAAGGATGTCGCTACTTTTCCGTATAAAGGGGCTTTAGTACCTGCTGCGGCGGCTCACGTTGATGCTCGGGGGGCGAACGGGGAGTCACGGCGCACGCCTCGCTATAGGAAACAGGTTCTTCAGACACCGTCGAGGTCGTTTTCCCCTTGGGGAATGGGGCGGCTCCTCCTGCTCCCACCACGGAAGCACTGAGATCATGACGGCCCGCCACGGCAGCGTGGGAAGGCGAGGGTCCCCCGACGTACCTCGGGCGATGCCGGGGGTCCCGTAGCTCCGTCTGGATGTTGCGCAACATGACCGACTGAATCTCGGAGCTCCTCGTCAGCTCGCTGCGAAGGCGAGCATTCTCCTCCCTCACAGCCGTCATCTGGTCCGTCAGAAAAGAGATGCCGTTCAATGCGTCGGCTAGCAGGTCTCGGAGAAGAGCCACCGAAGTCGCGGAGTCTACGCCGAGCCGGCCCTGGCAGGGTGAGTCCTGCTCGTCGTCAGGCCTAGCTTCGTCCGAGATAGGAATATGCGTGCGCTTGACGGAGATGCAGTCGTTGCATATAAATGGATAAATGGGCTTACCCCAGTCAGCATTCGTCCAACCTCGCTGTCCGGAAGTACGACACACTTCTTGTGCGTGCGTTTTCCGCACTCTTTGCATCGGAAATACTTTTGTTTTCCGTAAAAAGGCTGAGAGCACCCGCCGCACTTGTCCTTACTGCCCGCCATCTTGCGAAGTAAGATGGCGGTCAGTAGTAATAAAAATAATAATAATAATAATAATAATAATAATAATATTATTATTATTATTATTATTATTATTATCATCAACGAGCATCGTACTGACGTGCGTTCGTGTATCACTACTGCGTCTCCTCTCATCTACAGCGAGAACCAGTGTCGCCATACCATGGCATTCCGACCTCACGCTATGTAAATATTTAACGTCTAAACAGAAGTTGTGCGTGTGGTTACGTCAACTAATACCTGCGTATCGGGACCCCCATGGTACAAGACTGGGAAATATGTCCCTTCTTACCACTTACCACACTGGGAGTGGTGTACTCGGTGTCAGAGAGCCCGTGCAAGGGAGCCACCGGGCCTGTCCTCCCTGACCAAGTTCCCCAGTAGTCGAAGGCGTTGACTGTCATGAAGTGGACGTTCCTGCAGACAAATATCAGACATATTTTAAGGAAGACGATGTAGGAGGCATAAAACAACGGGGCTGTGTTTCTGCGGTGCTTTTGTGCAGACTACGTGGAAATGCGATATCACAGTTCGTTTTCTATGAAGGTTTGTTTCTCTATCCTTAACGATACGCCGCTCTCTCCCCTCCAGTGTCTTCTGGCACGTCGAGTACAGTCACACTCAGCACATGGCCGTTTCTGTTCAACTACGTATTTCCTCTTGAGTTCACTACTTCCTCGTGCGAGGCTTTGTGAAGACTGCGACACATCCAGTGAGCGCCTCATCCTGCGACTCGCAAGCGATAAGAAGAGGAGGACGGCACGTGTACCTCTCTCTCTCGCATTTCGATAGGACGACCGGAAGCTTTTGGGGGAAATACATTGGAAACGAACACTGCCCCAAGAGTCGAGGCTTAAGCCATGCATCGGGGCATAAGCCATGCATCGCCTGTGCACATTAGGCACGACAGAACTGTATGGCTGACAAGAATGATGAACTTGTGCCATGCTCGGAGCTTTGGACGAAGCGCTTCATGCAGCGGACACAAGCATTTTAGTGACGGCTTCAGAGGGCTACCGGAATAGTTCACTGGGGATGTTTGATGAATTATGGCCCAATAGATTTGTGGAAGAATTTGAGGAGAGTCCTGGCGTACGAAGGGTGTCCAAATCAAGACGAGATCGCTTGGATGGTATGAGAGGGAAAAGCGATAGTCGTCGTAAAGTTAATTTTATTATTTTTAATTTTCGCCAACGTAAAGACGAAAAAGGTAACGGTATCCTTTGGATTCACAGAATGTTTGTGCGAGGAAGTGTTGAGATGTGTAGTTTGTTTAAAACAAAAAAAAGTGTTATCCACGATGCAGGGAACGTCCCTACCGTAAACACAAAAGAAATAAAAAAAAAGAATTCCAGACGTAGAATGAACAGAAGCATTGTATGTAGTCTTAGCATCGCTCTGATCGCGCTTCTTTCAATTACTTTTATTCAGCGCACCACTGATAGGTGACAGACACGACATGACATTTCTTTTTGATTCAAGCACTTTCACCCTCAACAGTTATTACGGGAAGGCGCAGATTTGAAGACAAGAAGAGACGGGAATAATCATGCATTCAAATCGTTCTAAAAAAAAAAAAAGTGATGAACAACTGATGAAGTAATGAAAACAGCTGTCATGTCAGCCCTTACTTTGAAATTTCGGGCAAGTTGTAACCCTCTGCGACGATTTCTCTCGCAACAGACAGGTCCACTCCAAGTGACAGGTTCGCTTTTTCAAAGGCTGCCTTCATTTCCTGCGCACGAGAATAGTGGAGAAGGCCGACGGGAAAGTTGAGTGGATATTGCCATTAAGTCGATGCCGCCGAAATCACGTCTGAAGAGAAGAAATGAACATGACAAACTCTGACTGAGAGCTCGAACACTGATTGAAGCGACACTTCGGCAGAACAACTGCTGCATAGTGCAAATCCGCATACTTCAAAGACCCTAAAGTAGGACAGATGTTGTTTGTTTATTTATTCAGCGTGTCTATATATATACTACCTGCCGCCAAATAACAGTCGGGAAGCAGACGCATCGGTTGCCCTACATTGAAATACAAACAAGTGAATGCTCTCGAAGAGGGACATACGTGCGGGACATACTTTCCGCTTTGGATGGCTGCCTCGGTCCTTTGACTTCGATCGAAGAGAGTCCACTATTCTTTTCCTCAGAAGAGCCCTGAATCCGTCTCATACAATCTCAACTGTGCAGCTCGGAGCACTTTGGCCTTCTCTGTCCAGCGGTGGAAAATGCCAGAGATAAAACATTTTTATAACTTAAGGTACGTTGCGTAAAAGTGCTGTTTAGTGGACGAAACCAAACAGCCTGTAAACGCGCTGTTTGATGAACCAGTCGTACAGTAATATTTGCAAATAGTCTTGAATAAACTTGTATCGGAAAGCGAACGCGATAAGGGTCACACGTATGGCAGAAAGAGAACTTGATTAGTAAACAGCATCTTCCCTGTCCCAACCGAATAATCTTATCATCCACACGAGCTCAGTGGCTGCTCAGCGCATCGCCGTGGGACACAAACACGCAGTCAATTATATTCGGCTCTGACTTTATTTCACAGCTTAATTCTATGGACACACTCTGAACAACCTGAGGAACATAGGATATAGGATTCTTCGCTTTTTACCGTCAAACTTAAATGGTCCCCCCCCCCCCCCCCCCCCCCCCGTCGTCAGAAGAACGATCTACTAAAGATACGAGCGAAAATGCTTCTTACGGCAACATTTCCTTTCACTGTCCACAAGCGAATGTAGATCCAGAATTCGTCGCTTTCAGTGGCGCAGCACTGTCACTGACACTTGGCCATAGGATGCCGCCGACGTCAACGCGACCTCGTATATAGCTGTGCCGGGACGCTGCTCGTACTCCGACTTTCCGATGGATAAATGCAGAGTGCCAGAGAGTGCTCTGAGTAGGAGTGCACACTGAAAAGGCACGGGATGTCAAATTTGGTGATGTGAACAGCATCTCTTTGTCACACTCAATCTTGCATGAACCGAGCGCTTGAGTACGATGAAAGCACCACCCAAGTTCTCCATGAATTGGAGGATTTGAGACGTACGTTCGGCCATGGCCGGGCTGAACATAGGCGCTCGCTTCTTCTCTCATGGCTCGTTAAAGCAATGTGATGCCCCCTATAACACCGCAAAGCGGTGAAAGTGCTGCCACCCTAATAACGGGGAGCCTGCTCCCCAGTGTGCTTCTCCGGAGGTACGAGCGTCGCCTAACATTTGCAGCGACTAACGAGCAATGTTCATTTCTGAAATTGAGATCTTACAGTCGAAAGTCTATACAAAATTAAAACGTTCAAAGGACCCGAGGCGAAATGTCTCCAGGGATCGGAAACTTCCCTGTTAGTCGTTTTCTAATACCAGTAATTGAACAAGTAATCTGCTAAATGTTTCACTTCTATTGTTGGCCATCCACAGCATAAAACAAAAGCAAAAAGGTGGCAAAAAAAAATAAACTGAGAAAATGTAAACAATTATTGTGTAATAAAATGAAAATAGTTTTTCTTGTCTTATCAATACTAGGGATATCAGCAAGCTATGATAGCATTCAAAACACAGCCCGTTTAACTGCACCCTGCACAGGGACCATGCAGAATGGCGAGAGGCTTGCCCCCATGAAGAAGAGAACCGCATATTCCTCCGACGGCATAGCACAGCAGAGGCCGTCAACTTGATTGAGGAAATTTATCCCGCCCTGGTCGCACATGCGTTTGTTTTCAACGTCAGATGATCAAATTCGCTGTTGCGTGATCAATTGATAATGCTTTTGGAGATTTACGAGTATTTAGTTCTTTCGTTTAACGCAAAACGCGTCCTCAGGCTCCCCCCGCTGCAAAACTGCGACGACAAAAGGTGCGTTCACCAACTAAATGCAACGGGCTTTCGTTTCACTAAACTTGACGGGACGTATTCCCTTACGGCAAGTAAGACCCACCGCTCTGTATGTGACCAAAGACCTGCGAACGCCTTCCGGCGTCCACAGACGAAGGAACTATACTACGTACGGACGTTCTCGGTACGACGAAGCTACCGTTACCTTGCAAAAGGGTGCCACTATTTTTTTTTTCTTTTTGTAATTCCTGTTTAGTCAATGTTTCTTCTGGCAATCAGCGCTTGTCTACGTACATGTCTTTTGGCTCTCGTTTCCCGCGTTGTTCTTTTAATTTAGGCTATGGCACCACGCTGACACTCTCACGTAAAGAGGCATGTTCGTTTGAGTGTGACCGACAGCGTTATGACCGCATCTGTCTGCTTACAAGATGGCTGCTATGGCCACCGAGATCTGCGCAACGCGTCATAGTGGAACGCAAGAAGTCGTACCGCAATCGATCACATTAAAACGCAAATATATAAAACCGACCTTTACTCTCTCTTTGAATCAGAAAATTATTTTTGTAAGGCCCGCTTCAGACGGTGCATCAGCAATATCAGGGTTGCTGGCGAGTTGTTCTCTAGAAGCGACAGCTCGAATTCCTGGGATCGAGTTCGGCTCGAAACGGGCGAGCAACTTCGACAACTTGGAGACGTTTCACGCTGCAATACACCAGTCCCAGACATGATGTTTTCACGTGAATCCCCTGTGGTGATGATGATGATAATTGAACAGAGGAGCTGACTTGGTACTGGTTTGAAACGGTTTTCGTGACTGAATGGTTTCAGGGAGATGAGCTAGAACTTTCCGCGCTATTTTTAGATATAAAACACGTTATTAACGCGTTATTAAAGCGTAACTGTACGCTTAAATAGTGCGAGAAAATTGAAATGTTAATGACGATGATAAAAAAATTCTAGCAATTTGAGTTTTTGAGGTTGCTGCGTTCAGACGTTAGAAAACCACTCCAGCTGAAGGGGGCCTAACAAACCACCCACCTTGAGCAACTCCACGAAGTTTTCCTTGTCCTCTGGCCGCCCTCCGCCGCCCCCGGGGTAGTTCCAGTTGAGCACGAGGCCGTTAAGCCGATACCTCTTGCAGAAGGACACTCCGCTTTCCGCGAAGCTCTTGCGGTGTGTCTCGGACCGCGCCATCCTGCTGAACGGCGCTGATCCGAGGCTCTGGCCACCCACAGCAGCCAGTACCTTCAGTTGACTTTTTTTGTTCTTCAGATTTGTGAAGCGCCGAAGGTTCCCTGCATTGGACAGCGCGTGCATGCCGCCTTAGCGTCTGCCCGCCTCCACATGCCTACTCGGGAAAAGTCTTGCAGCTCACGTACATCAAAAGTGCACCAAAATGTTTTTTTTAAAAATATTTTTAAAGGACCGAGTTGTTCGACGTACTCTACGAAATTTCAAATAATGTGAAATTTTCTGCGCGTGCTCCTCACTTCTTCAAGGGCTACGTCACGAAGAGCATTCGGAGGGCCAACGACTGCGATATAAAGAGGGAGCTGGGCGCATAACAAGGTGCAAAATATGTTCCGACCTATCCAAATCAAGCTGCAACACTGTGCGTGACGAGAACATGGGATATGTCACGCTCATGCAGACTAAATTTTATGGGTCTCGACATTTTCACGGCCTTGTCACTTGCTAAGTGCCGTCCTTAAATCGCATTAAAGGGGTACGGAAACGAAATGGCGTACTCGCGAGCTCTTTACCTCTCGCTTCAAAGTCGGCCAGGGAGAAGCGCAATGCGTATCGCGCTCGTGACGTCGAGAGTTCTCCCTCTGCCTAGGGTACTGTAGTTGCGAGCGTGGCTGCTTGGTGGCGTCAACGCGTGACAACCTCACCTAGTAGTAATATCCGAGGACTGCACTCTAAAAAAGCCCGCGCATCTACTTTCCCGCCCCACACTCGGAGAGCAAATCACCGCAGCTTACGGAGGCAGCTCAGTAAATGACGATGCCGAAACATATGTTTAGACCAAAAAACGCAATCTGAGTTGACACACTAAGCAATGCAAGCGTGACGTTTTGCATTTCTTAATGACACAACCTCGGGAACAAAACCCCGAGCCGTAGCGGCTCGGGAACTTAAAATAACGCAAACTTAAATTTGCATTACTGCGGTAGCTTCGATGAAAACAAAGTGCAAGTTGCAGCTTAATTACGAGCCTGAAGTGAGAGTTGCGTTGTCCGAACTTCGCTATCGATTTGAGAAACCGTGCTGTAACAAACGAGCTCACTTCTCCATTAAAGGGATACTTCAACAATATTTGAAATATTCCCGTCGTGTTTAAAAATAGGTTGAATATGATCCACAATATCCGTAAATGACAATCGCACGTTTGTATCTTGAGCCTGGTGGCTGTATTTTTCGTTATAAACGGCCCACTTTGGCAAGCGCTCGGAGAAGGCCCAGCGGAGACCACGTGACATCCAACGCAATCGTGACGTAGGTCGTCTCAAGACGAGCAAAGCTACGGCAAGGCTGACGTCGAGAGGATGGCCTAGTCCAGGGGTGGCCAAACCGCGGCTCGCGAGCCGCATGCGGCTCTTTGCTGGTCTAAGTGCGGCTCGCGGATTCCTCGTAGGGGACCCCCCCTTTCGCTCCTTTCCGCGTTGCCCCATGAAAAAAAAGAAAGGATTTAAAAAAAAGCACAGTTGCGGTTTGACAGCTTTGTGCCCCCATACGTACAGTCAGGCTCTATACAAAATTTAAGTTTGCCCCCCCCCCCCCCCTCCCCCGCGGCTCTTAAAAGTTTCGTGGGTTTGTTTGCGGCTCTTCAGCCGGGTCAGCCTGGCCACCCCTGGCCTAGTCGTTCCAGCCACCGAAGCGGCTGCTTTTGTACGAATTTTGAGCGACGGGTTAATCTTCTATAATCTTGTAGGGGGACAATAGCGACTTCTGCGACAGAAAAAGGCATTCCCGGGAGGAGGGGAGTTCCTCGTTCTCCTCTTCTTTCGTCGTGGCCGGAGACGAGACAACCTCCGTCACTAGCTGTCAAGGTTCCTAGACGAGCATTACAAACGAGGCGTTAGCGACATCCACCAGGTGCTCTTTGCTAACCGTTTAATTCGTTTTAAAATTACTTTTCGAGACTTTTTTAACAAAATATTGGTATGTTCGATGTGATACTGCTCCTTTGAACACATATAGACCAAAAAATGAGCGCCGAAATTTCGTTGTAGTATCCCTTTAAAGGTTCCCTGCAGTCCTATTTAAGCGTCTACCTTTTTTGCGGTTTCCACGTCTCTTGTGGTTCGGGCAAGCCAGCGGGCACGGAGAGAGTAACTAAATATCAGTGCGTCATATTTGAACCGGGCGACGTGGAAACCTCCTCCACCTACGGGGGCGCCCCGTGGTGTCAAAAGCGCGCGGCATGGGACGAAATCGTGACGTTTTTGGTCCTGACGTCAGCCGGGGAGAGAGAGCTGCCCCGTTCCCGGGAAGCTTCTCTCCTCGGCCTCACCTCCTTTCCCCGTTTTCCCCTTCCTCCCCAAATTCCTCAGTCACCGCCGCAAGGGGAATCCTCCGTCGCGGGAATAGGGGGGACGAGGACCAATGACGTTATGAAAGAGGTTATTTTTTGCTTGTTTTTGTTGTTGTTGTTGTTCTTGATACCTTTATTTAAGACATAACAGTACCGAGATGTCTCAGGGGACAGGGCTAAAGGCATAAATGCCTGACGGGGCCATGCCACCCTTTTGGCAGCAACGGTAGCAAAAACATAAACAAATGAGGATAGATACAATTTCACTCCAAACTAGAAATCTAAACAAAACAAATACATCACAAAACATGGCGTGAAAGGACAATTGCTAGTTATCATCATAAGCCTTTTGCTTAAAGCACATCCGGTTTTATTTCCCTGTGAGTAAATGTTCTTTTACAACATTTGTATATTGATAAAGTGATCGTACGTATTCCAATGAAGCTAAAATATACGGGTACTGGTTTAAATGGTCTGGTATAAGAAAACTCAACCTCTGGTCTCCATAATTCATTCGCGACCGCGATTTTATTAATAAATGTCGCCTTAAATTATACGGGCTATCTTTCGCGTGGTACTTAACATAGAACACCAATTTATCGAGCTGAAATTGCCACCGAATTTCAAGTGATAGTTTGTATTTATGTAGATTTCTTATGTTGAGTATTTGATATGTCCTAAAATGTGGTGTGGCACTTTTAAGAAGTTGTATGTTACCAATTGCTCGCAATGCTCGCTTTTGTATGGATAAAATATTGTCTAGATTTGTTGGGGATGTCGTTGACCACACTAAAAGGCAGTAACTTATGCGGGATTGCACAAGCACGAAATAAATTTGACGTTTCACTTTTGTTGTAAGATAATATCTTAATCTATTTAAAACACCAACAGCTCGACAAAAACTTGTTCTCAAAGAATCATTATGTGGCGTCCATGATAGGTTTTCATGGAATAAAACTCCCAAGAATCGAATGGTTGAAGATAGTTGAATATAAGAATCCTGGAATTTTAATTGCAAATTGGAAGGGGATGTCATTCCTTTTGGTCTAAATAGTAAGTACTTTGTTTTTTCCATGTTTAAATAAAGTTTATTAGCTCTAAGCCATAAGTCTAATCCCCACAACCACTGTTTTGCCTTTCCAAAAAGGTCGTCGATGTCCCAGCCAGAAAAGAAAATATATTTGTCATCTGCATATAGGACTACATGCAGATGTAATTTTCACATGCCTATAACTTTTAAAATAAAGTGAATTTCGAGAAAATAAAAAAGTTCGCTAAGTTACGACGTTCGGTGCACTCAGGTTCGGTGCAAATTAAAAAAAATAAATAAATAAAATAGAGTAAAAAAGTTATTCTTGCTGGCATTCATTTTTTTTTTTTGTGATGGTTTCTTGGACAGTTGATTTACTTTGCTATTTTTTAACTGTCAAATAAAACTTTAGCTGCAATTTTGTGTATCACTGCTCTTGAACTAAAATTGAAAAGCTTTGATATTGCGAAAATACGGGTTTAGGGGGGGGGGGGGGCGATGCTATATTTTATATTTTTTAGGAATGGTGATGTAACTGCTCCACTGGGAAAACAACAACAACAACAACAACGACATGAACAAGAGCAACGCATATATAACGGAGAGAATGTGAATCACGTGTGCCTTCACATACAACCAGGGACTCAAACCGAAAAATATAACGTTTTAGTTACAAATATGGTAACCGTTTCCTGTTGATATCGGTTTCGTTGCGGTTTTTTACGGTTTTACCTTTTACGGTTTCGGTTACCGGTTACACGTTCCTAAAAAACATTTTTTTTTTCGGTTTCTTCAGTAATTTGTTTTATTAAAATGCTATAGACAGCCGTCTTATATTAAACGGTTTAAAATAGTCCCAGATAGCCAACAACGGGCCATTCACAATAACGAGAACTCAGAAACGTCATAGTAGTTCTAATTGGTCAAAAGTTGCACACGTTTCTAGCTCAAACACCTGTTCACTACATTTAATTACATTACCTCTATAGTTTGGTACCCAAGCTTAGATAATACCCCCACTACTCGGGAATCATCGCATTTTATATAATAAAAATCGCTACTAAACATCGCTACTTTGTTGTTCGGCAACGTTTGTAAACAACCCTCAGAAAGTTCCCACTGGGTGCTGGAAGAACCATTCGCACATTTTCGTCGCTATAGTTTGTTGCAGCCTATAAGATATGCAGAAAAGGCTTCTCACATACTGAAGGAAGGGGCAGAACTATAGCCCTTCTCTAGTAAAATACTGCCAAGTGGACTAAAGTAATAAAATTGAGAGCTGGGCTAGTTGGTGAAAGTCAAACATATTGTAAATGCAATAGCGAAAAACAATAAAGACTAAGGAGAGGAACGAACAACACAGAAAGCTGTAAAAATATGTCCTGCGTTGTTCGTTCCTTTCCCTAGTCTTCGCTGTGTTGCGCTGCTACACGTACGTCATGTTTGCCATTTCCAAGCAAATGCATGTGGTTATAGAAGCGCGCGTATATCGTTGTCCGATAGTTTGAGGCTGGAAAAATTGTGCATTTGTATGGTAGCGCCATTTTTCTTCATGGTTTGGAGGCGGAGCTTCTCCTACAGATGTAGTGCAACTAGGGATGGTCACGAACTTTCGTCGAGCCGGATTTTTACGTCGAACCTCAAAGTTCGACGTTTGTCTTCCGCCAGCTATGCATGATGGTCAATTTACCTCGCTTCTTCATACTGGCTAGTGCAGGTCAGGAACGTCAATAATTAAAAAAAAAACAAAAAAAAACGAGTTGGATGGATTTCTTAGCATTCTAACTTATTAGTTAATACCCTGAAGGCGACACGTACTGAATACATGTAGCGATTGTAGTATAGTGCGGCTGATTTAGAAATTGTATAGACTTTTCATTATAAGCTCGACCACTGATTCCAACCAAGTATTCTTAATCCCAAATTTAGATTCAACTGAAATGTATTACCAGATGCACTACTCACTGACAGTAACTCTGTCAAATGGCCACGACACTTCAGGATCTCTCCTCGAAGTCATTCTTGAGAAAAACTCATAGTTTTATTTTCCGGTTAATGTCGGTTAATATCGGTTACCTGTAAATAAATTACGGTTACAGTTACGGTTACAGTTTTCATGAATTTCAAATAACGGTTTCGTTACGGTTACTGAAGAGATTTCGTTCCTAAACGGTTTGCGGTTCGGTTTCGATTACGGTTACGGTTTGAGTACCTGGATACCTACAACGTAGACCTGGCAGGGTAGACCAGCTTCCCCAGGACTAAAACGAACGCCGGTTTTTCAGCTGCAGGCTTCGGCTCGTCTCACATGTATCACGAAACAGCGCCAGAGTTGCATAGCGAATAGAAGCAAACTAGGTGGATTAGTCAACATAATAAAACCGGAGACAGGGAAACAAAAGGGACGTACATACCACCGTCTCAGACAGAGCGATAAAATATAAAAAGCAAAAAGAACGTTTACCTGTGTCTGAGACGGTCTTGTGTACGTCCTTTTTGTTTCCGTGTCTCCGGTTTTATTCTGTTGCCCAATATTTCCCAGCTCACCTCTGCCCCCAATCTCCCTTCAGATGGGTTAGATGGGAGGTAAAAGGTACTATAAAGAACGCCATAAAACGAAAACAAGAAACTGTTGACAAATCTAATAGGGCCCGCTAGATGAAGATTCAACCGAGGCGCGCGGGCTCTTGAGACGGGATATGTTACCTCGTCCTTCGTACGGTAGCTTTTGCAGTTCGAAATTCCAGACTGCTATCAATAAAAACAACTTCTCGTTCCGACCAAGCCGGCTCATGACAGCTAAGTACGACGGACGGTTTTCTCAGCAAGAAGAAAGTGACGTGAAACAGGAACGGTTTTCTTTTTTTTTCAGTGAGCTCCGGACCTTTGAGCCTGGCCTAAATGTTCTGTCCTGAAGATTGTGACAGTCAACCATTTTAGATGGCCATGATTATGAGCCATACGTTGCGTCGCACGGGGCTATTATACATCGTACCGTTGCGGTTAGAATCCGAATGCTGGAGACGGACACGCCGAGTTGTCACCAGCGCGCACTCGCACGTGTCTCCATTTCCTGCTCCACCCCTTGTTACGATAGCAGTCTACGCGACAACCTCTAAGCTCGACAAAGGCAAACGAAATGCGGGCCTCACCATTTCCCCCGTTGTCGGAGAGGTCGTTCCACGGGTCGGAGAGCACCACTTCGGCGCCGCGAATGCCGACGATGTTGTAGACCATGTGCGTGCACGGTGCGGTGTCCAGGCGCTGGGGCGTGCTCTTGCCCTTGCCGGTCCGGTAAAATGCCCAGCTGTTCCAGTAACACAGCACCTTCCTGGCCTCGGGAATTGCGGCCGCTGTCGGACGGAGCGGCCGTGGGGCGAGCGCTTAGCGCGAGGCTGCCTCGCGGGGTGGGACCGACTTACCGGGAACGGCTGCCGCGCAGAACAGGGCCACCAGGGCGACGGCCGACGGCAGCCGCTTCATCTGGTTTCAAAGCTTTTGTCCTTCAAGGTTCGAACCCCTTGGGGTGTTTATCGTGCTTCTCGATTCGTGCAACTCGCGATCGCGGCGACGCAGCGATTGAGCCGCATCTTAATGAGCTGGGCTGGCTCTTTATAAGGCCACGTTTGGGGCGAACCGGATCCTGCCCATTGAGCTTGCAGGGAGGACTGTTTTCGACGCCGTTGCTGCGTCGGTTGTTGCTCCGGGGATGAGCGGTCGGCCTTGTGGAGTGTTATTCAACCGAACCAAGGTGCGCGCCCTCCACCTCCGCCTAGCGTCGGGCCACAGGGCGACTTGGGTGCGGAGGGCCGAGAGCGTCGCCTCTTCTTGGGGGGGAGGAACTTTCGATTGGGGCATCCCCACCGTACTCCCGACTGGAATTCTCGGAAGTGCCTCGGGTGCTTGATTTTCATCTATTTTATCTTGTTTCGTTTAGGAGAGGGGCTTTCATTTTGACACATCGTAAAATTCCGCTCGAGGATCGCAGCTCATTTTGACGGTTGATCCGTTTTTCCGCTCTTCGTACTTTAAGAGTGCCACCGGTGAGGCGGACGGAGAGATACATAGATGATCAATCCGATACCTTCGATAACCATTAGCGATGATGATGACGATAATACTACTACTACTACTGCTACTAATAATAATTTTATTGCAAATATGAAACATCAATACAAAAGAAAGCAAGTCTGTCAAAAGCCAATAGCGGCTTGTACGACTAGACTCGGCATCGACGTAGAGAAAAAACAGTTATACGTAAACATAGCATAAGACGAAAGTAAACACAAGTTACAAGAATTGCAGACAACTCTACAAAAAAAAAAAAAAAAAGAACACGCCAAAGAAAAAAAATACCACAAAGCATAATGGTTCTGGAACCTTAACGAACAACATAGGTAGAAAACATAATACAAAACATCGCATTAAAAAAACAATACCACTAAACATGCCGAAAAAGAACAAAACAAAAATATATTACACAACTCATTCATAAATACGCGCATAAGTCAGCTAAAAAACACAAGGGAAAGAGAAAAAAAACACGAGCCATATACGCGTACATATCTATATCTATCTACATATCTACATAATAATAATAATAATAATAATAATAATAATAATAATAATAATAATAATAATAATAATAATAATAATAATAAATTTATTTACGCAGGATGTATTCAGGACGGCACTAGGCAGGTTCGTCGAAGCCAGCTGGGGCTTGTAGGACTGAACCTAAGTAGCAGTGGTATATAAGAGAGTTTCGGAAAATAATAAAATAAAGCAGAAAAACACCACATGGTTTGTTCAGTTGTGAAAACTACACAAAAATGTCAGTCAGGAAGTTATTGTCAGAGTCAAGGAAAGAAATATACAATACAAATATAAGCTATTTTTCTAGTAGAAGGAAAAAAAAAGAGGTACGGCTAAGTTCCCGTCGTATCGTATAAGAACTTGATGATAGAAGGAGTCATACACATGCACACGCACGCAGATACGTGCACACACAAATACACAGACATTACTGCGTTACACTACACACAAAAATGTTGACTCGAAAAAAGATTCATGTGAGGAAGCAACACCAATTATGACGAAACCAAAAATGAGATATTATAAGGCCTCTTCATCGATGGAAAGTGTCCGGATTGCCATTTTGAGTTTCTTTTCGGATGTAATCTCTGAAAGGCTTGGGGGCAATGGGTTAAAAATCTGAGGGACGTAGTACGAACGCATTTTTTTGCCGTAGCGGGTATAACATATCGGAGTGAGGAATCTTGAAGCTTTCCTCAAGTTTCGTGAGATGGGGCGTGGAGACTTAAAATCGTCTTTCCAGTTGTAATTGAGCACAACTGTTTCCAGAAATAGGGACTGAAAAGTTGGCATTGATAGTGTTTGAAAAAGATCTAAATCCGAAAAATCACGCTTGTACCCCACGCTTCTCAGTATTCCCCTCAGGACACTGTGGATTTTCTTTTGCCATAGTTTGGAGCATTTACCAAAAATAGTTATGCCATACCGCAAATTGGAGTAGGCTAATGCATAAGCTACGCCCTTGCGTAGAATGAAAGGCATAAATGCTTTGGTATTATAAAGCAGACAGGAAATACTTCGTAACTTAGCACATAGTTTCGTGATATGCGAGTTCCATGAAAGATCGGAATCAAAATGTATTCCTAGATATTTAACAGTGTCGGAATATGGAACTTCATTACAATAACATGGGTACAATGGGACGAATGGAGAAAAAGGGGAATATTTAAAGAAACAACTTTTAAAGGATTATGAAAGCAAGCTAGCTTTGTTTTAGTTATATTTATAGCAATCAAATTCTGGTTAAACCAATCCATCAGCATGTTAGAACAGCGTTGAAGTGCTTCCATTGCTTTCGGGTAGGAAAGGTGACGTGTCAATAAAAGAATGTCGTCAGCATATTGGTAGAGAGTACAATTGGAAAGAGCAGTAGCCATATCATTCAAGTAGATGTTGAAAAGAAGTAGTGAAAGGATAGAACCTTGAGGTACGCCGGCTTGTAAAGAAACTTTGGTGCTATGTACATTATTGATTGCCGTTAGCTGAGAGCGGCCATGTAAGAAATTATTTAACAGTGATAGAAATGGGCCGCGAAAGCCACTAGCGGAAAGCTTTTGTAGTAGAATGGAATGGTTAACTGTATCGAATGCTTTCGAAACATCTAGGAAACAGTCACAAGTAAAGAGGTTATTGTCAAAACCAAAGTTCAGGTCGTCGAATAGTGCATCAAGAAGTGGCTGCGTGCCTCGACCAGCGATAAATCCATATTGATTCGAAGTCATAATGTCATGTTTGTCAATAAACGAACACATTGTATTATATAAGAATTTCTCCAGTATCTGAACAAGGCATGGCAAAATGGATATTGGACGAGAGTTTTCGACATTACTTCGGTGGCCTCCTTTGAACAGAGGTTTTACAACAGCGAGTTTTAACTCGTTAGGTATGATGCCAGATTCTATTATTGTATTGAACAGAAGGAGAAGTGTATTTTTAATATGACGGAAGTTTCTACGGATGTCATTCAGTCGTATGCCCTCAAAACCTGGAGATTTGTTGGGTTTGAGGCTCATTACTATAAATTCCAGATCATCTATAGTCATCGAAGGAAGCAAAGCTGAAGCCGAATTAGAGTAAGAAAGAGAGAAGGAATTGGGGCTGTTTCTTGCTTTACCTGAGAAGGACGCAAAATACTGATTGAATAGGTTGGCAGTTGCGAGTGAATCGTGTCCGAAGACATCGCCATATGAGCTGCCATGGGAACGCGGAGAAACGCCTCGCAGGTCATTAATCAATTCCCAAGTTTTGGCTGAGTTCTTCCGATATTCGAAGAACTGTTTTTGAAAATAGATTCGCTTTGCCAATCGAATAAGCGCGTTGACTTTGTTGCGCATGGTCCTAAATTCTACTTGAAAGATCCGATTTCGTGGTGAGCGGCGGCAACGCTTCCAGGCTAACTCTATAGATTTAATGGCAAACAGTATGTCATTATTTAACCAACGTATGTCTGTTTTCCGCTGCTTTAAGTATAGACATTTTTTTGATGCGTTAGAGAACTGTGTCGGGAGTTGAACAAGAGAATGATAGATTTGGGAAGGAGAAATCGAGTTTTGCAAAGTGGCCCAGTAGTAATTGGCTATATAATTGTCGAAAGTGCGTTGGTCAACTATCGTAATACGGCGGATATTAGTACTAGTGTCAACAGAAGTCGAACCAGGAAACTCTAAATGACATGTAACGAAGTAATGGTCTGATATTTTTTGTGTTATAATTGCCGAGCTTGTTCTTGCGGATGGGGCCCTTAATTTTAAATGGTCAATTGACGAACTTACAAGTTTTTTGCTTAGGAATTCTTCCCTTGTAGGAGTGAGAATTGTGGCTTCAACTCCGTAATCGGATAGCAAAGTAAGGTACTCACAGACGAGCGATTTCGAGGGTTTCATTAGGTCAATGTTTATGTCACCTGTCAGACAAAAGGTTGCATTTAACGGAAGAGATTGTAAAGAATATCGTAACTCGTCGAGAAAAACTTGAATGTTTTCGGAAGGTGGGCGATAAATAGCCAATAAGTAGATGTCATATACGGAGTTAAATATACGTAGTGCTATTGACTCACAAGAAGTGAATGAAACTGTTATCTTGGAGTGAAATAAAGAAGTTCTAAAGAATACCGCAATACCACCCCCGCGTTTGTTATCACGAGTGTAAAAGGAGCTGCTGAATCCGGGTAATGAAAAAGCATCAACTTCCTTGTTGAGAATATTAATTTCGGTAAGGATAAATACATCTGCTGTTGGAAGCACGCAGTCTACTGCTAACCTAAATTGGTCCCAGTGTTTCCGGAGGCTCCTTATATTAACATGAAATAAAGTAAATGAAGTATCCTGACTAGGTTGGATGTTTTGAGAGTATGAGTGAAAGTCATTAAATTGATAGTAAGTGACCATATACGCCTATACAATTTGTTCCAAAGCAGCAGCATTGGTGATGCGGAGCACAGCAGAATTTACATTTTGCTTTGCGAAAATCTGACCATGCCGAACCCACACAAATTTGTATCCCTTTTCTTTTCCTTTGGTTCGCGCCATCCAGAAGAGTTTTTTGTTGGCATCTGTGAGGTGGTCGTTAAAGTAAATTCTAGGCTGAGATTCTTCATGAGGCAGAGATCTCAAGCGGCCGCGACATGTCATCCAGCGTTCTTTGAGAGGAACCGAAGAAAAATGAACCAAAATTGGATGAATGGCATCATGCCTAGCAGGCAGGCGGTGTGCAGCCTCTACATGAGTGAGCTGAAAGCTATCAATGTTCAATTGACCTGCTAAGTCTGTGAGGATGCCATTGAGGTTCTCCTTGGAGGACAAAGGAATACCGTGAATTTCCAGGAAAGATTGACGATTGGACTGCTCGGTGGAGTTTTGTGCGGCTTTCAGTAGTTGAATCTCAAGCGCTTGGTCGTTCTGGGTGGCTTTCAGTTGCTGATGTTCAAGCGCTTGGTTGGATATTTTTGATTGCAACGACCTATTTTCTGCTTGGAGTTCCTTGACTGCTTGGTCTTGAGATTTTGTTGAGTAGACAAGTGAGTCATACTGGGCTGAAACGAAGGCCACAGATTCTTGCATCTCGGTTACGGAGTCGCGCAAGGCGTCGACCGCGAGCTTCATTGATAATAGGGCGTCGATTTTGGGGTGCAGGTCTTGGAGATTATCAACGGAGGCTTTCCAAGAGAGCAGAAGATCCAGT